ATGTGGGGGGTGTACTCTCTTCTGTGAGATACTGTGTGTGTATATATATATATATATATATATATATATATACATACAGTAGCAATGATGTACAAATTTTTTGATATTTGTTATTTTAGCTAACATTTATTTTTGCTGGGATTTATTTATGACATTTAGATAACAGATATAATGTATTATATACGTTTGTTTACTAAAACTCACACTACTTGTCACTCTTGGCAGGTAGATTAGTTACCAAAGAGATGAGGTTGGTGAGAGTCAACTTGACCTGAACCTTGACTTTTTCATCAGGGTGTCTTGCTGGTCGAATATTTTTGTTGTATTTTTTAAACTTATCTGCGATTAACTGGGTCTCCTCATTTGCACTGACTGCAAAACGAAAGAATGAAAGACAGAAATTAGTTTTAAAACTTGCATACAAAAAGACTGTTTAGTAGACGAACATAATTAATCTGTGAAAGTGTGAAAACTTAAGAGTTTAGAGATGTTATTATTAAACGTCCAAAAGGCCCATACAAGCAGCAGGCAGATTTATATCAATTATACTGCAGTTTTCAAACCATTTAACTTTTAATACGTGTTACAAGACTGCAAATCATAAAATATTCATAATATCAGCCATTTAAAACTTAACTGACTCAGCACTGTGAACCCAATACAAGTTGCAGTAATCCCTAAACAAAATGGTAATGTTTGTAACAGCTTTACATATCTAGCCTATATTAAAATGACCACAATATAGAAAAGACTTAGAAATTATTACACAATTAAGTATAACGCTGCTTGCGGTTACAGTGCGACAGCAAGTGTGTTAAAGACGGAGAGTCAGTCACTCAGTTTTGAGGAAACAAAAGGACACGTACCTTGTAATACAGTGGCCACGAGCGCAAACGCAACTATACACGTCCTACCGAACCGGTCGGCCATGGTCGCCAAAAGACCGTCTTAAAAGTTGGTAACAAAGACAGACACGTTATTTTCGAGTGATCAGTAACGGACCTCTCTCTTCCCCTCACTGCTACAGCTGTCACTGCACCGAGGCTCGAGTTACAGCGCGCTCTTAAAGTCACATTCACTAATCGCCAATATCATTATGCCTCTAATACGCGACAATGATGCAGATTATGTAGGTTATTTCTCTAGTATTACTGTTAGTGACCTCAGATACTACGAATAGAGGCAAAACATGCTAACGGGAGCGTCAATTTCAGGTGCCAATCGCAAGACTTTGGTTCCACTCACTGCTGCGCGAACCCATGGTGATGTTGAGAGTCGTGCATTTCTACGAGTATCATAATGGCTTAATACCGATAAGCATAACGGTTATTGATAGTGTTGTTCACCCTCTGGGAATCGTATTTCAGTCTGAAGAAATAAGCAATGTTAACAGGTGTACTGAGGGGCCGGCTGAAGGGCCATAGTGTTGATGTCTCCCATGAACACGGGTATAAATAACCAGTGTCTGTCTGAACATTGTGCCCTGCTGTGTATCTCCCTGGAACAAGGTAAATGCAGGGGTTAGGGAGTGTGTTTTGTATAATTTGCTTATAGGCTACACTGTAAGAAAAGTCTGTAAAAATAGGGCCCTATTTACAGGGCCCTACTGTGTTAACATAAAGGAATTTTCCATATTAGTTTTTTTCACAGATGTAGTTTGAATTACATAATGCATTGTGTTGTGTAGGGTTAAAGGAAATGTCCATAAACTTAACAGATAATGTCCTGGCAGAAAATTACCAGTATCTTTTCCCTTTTTTCTTACAGTGTACATTGGGGCCAAAAGTTCTCACAAGGATAGTACCTGAAATCTCCTACACTGACAGGTAGCCAACAGTCCTCATGAGGAGAATACAGCTTAGTACACACACTAGTAATCTCTTTATGAAAATATAAAATGCAATAAAGTTTGGCTTTAGAGTTAATGGATAGAAAATATAATTAACTCAGCATAAAGCCAATAAAATTCAATGGAAATGGTAGAAAATGTGTGCGTGTGTGTGAAAGGGAATGTAACAAAAAAATTGTCAAAGCTTCTTTTTGTTCCCAGAAGGTCAAAAGTTCATAACTGTGAGTTATGAGAGATGCCTGAGTGGTGATATCATATACATAACTGTCCAGCGTGTCAGGTTTTAAATGATTTATGAAGTCCAGCACATACTGTGACAACTGACACTATAGGTTGGTTTAAAGCACGGCTGCACATCAAAGAGAGTATTTTGAATAAAATAGGCTCTATGATCTACAGGATTTTTCAGTAATCTTATGCACAGCAGGAGAGGTCAGTCTCTTTGATGTCAGTCTCTTAAATTATATTATGACACACTCATGTTGTTTATTTCATGCATTTTTGTTTTGTTTACATCCTGTATGAGCCAAATAGCATAAATGTATTGCTTTGCCAGTTGCTGGCCACTGGGCTTAAGTGGTACATGGTACATGGGCTTAAGTGTCACTGGATTGCAAAGCTTGTCGGTAGGCTTACCGGAGCATGAATTCCTGTCTCCTTTGTGTACTATTAATATGACCTGTAATTGAACCGTGTTCCATGTGGGTAACCGGAAACTCCACATCCGGGGAAACGTCTTTGACAAATGAGAACGTCAGAAATGCATATAAAACATTTTTTTGTTTAGATTTTCTAAATTTATCTTACCATAATGTACTTATTATCTTAGGTCCACAGGTCTCAAAACAGATTAATTTCACCACTGAGCATGTAGCAAACATTCCAATTTGTCTGAATAGCCTCCTGCATGAATGTCCGAATGTTGGAGGATACTAGTGTTTGTCCTCAACCTCCTCCACATTTACTCCTTCTCTCTCTCTTCCTTCGGCTTGCTCCCTTTTTATCAGGGGTCGCCACAGCGGAGTGATCCGCACAACGATTTGGCACATGTTTTACGCAGGATGCCTTTCCAGCCGGAACCTAGCCCTAAGAAGGCACTAACTCGTGCAACCCCAGTGCTGGGACACACTCACTCACTTATTCACACACACACACACACACACACACACACTCACTCACTATGGCCAATTTGATTTTTTCCACATTTACTCCTTCTAATGAATTGAAAACGTTTTAATGTCCAGTAGGGGGAGCTCCAAGCTACACGCAAAACTAAGACGAACAAGAACAGCTTGCAACTGTAACAGTAGGTCTACTTTTTATTTAACACGATTATCACGAAATTTTAAAGACTTATATTTGATAAATAAACACAATCATTATTTATAAGATATATATTTCAGCTTTTATAAATAGCTATATTTTCACGGTTTAAAAGTTTGACTGAAATGCTTGTATCGAATTATTTTATGTTCTACCAGTGATAAAACTGTGGTAGATGTTAGGTTTTGTGAAGAACTGGTAGGGAGCCTTTGAGCTTCTTTATGAAAACAGACTGTGTTTATGATTACTACTATACTGTATGTTTGAAGTTAAATTATGTTTTGTTGAGTTTTTATATTTGGACAGTGGTCACTGGGCTAGTTTTGTTGTGAAGACATGGCAACTCTGGTCCTGGGCCCCTGATTGAGAACCACAGCTGTGTACTGTTCTTGAATTGTATGTTACTTTAGAGATTGAAAAAAGTCTTGGTTAGATTACAGAATCTTCCAAACAGTGTTGGGAATCCAAAGTCCATTGTAGAAAATCTATGAAAAAATATCAAAAAAATTTTAATGAAAAAAATACATCACTGTATCTTTTACGGGGTTTCAGCTAAAACATTTTTATTGATGTCTTTGCATTTAATATACCATCTTTCGAGATAAGAATAATTTAATCATGAGGCGGGAAATGACATTGATAATCAGTAACCTGTAGCGTGCGTATGTGTGAGTTAATGATAGCCTTCAGATAATGTCACCCTTGATGAATGCCTGTGATTGCTTTTGTGTAAATGAACGGACGTCTATAAATCAGCAGTTGGGCCTAAATATAGTGACACAGAGGCAAACTGCTAATACCTTCAGCCATACTTACTCTGTCAAACTGGGGCATTGAAATTCATCAGCTTTCAAACCAGAGGGGTGGGTTTTAGGGCATGACAGCTTTTTTAAGGTGCTCACTGACATTTCAGGTCACAGTGACTGTCAAATGTCCAGCACTGGCCTTGTCATTCAGTCCACCCAATTTGAATATACAAACATGATGGTCTCTTTTAATCAGCTTTACTATGATATACAAATATATAATACTAATCTAAGGTAATTAAAGAAGAAAACACACCAACACTATTTAGTTGCCTAACCAGAATATTTAAATTCAACATTTGAATACGATGCATTTGAATTCAACATTTGAATGGGGAATTTGAATCTTTCAAATGAAGAAACCTCTCTTTTTCACTCAGAGATGCACATGTTGGGTAAATAAAAAACTTGGACCTTCCTTTGTGGATTCCAGGATTTCACTATTTATTTGTGACGTGTTGTACAAGTGTGTGCGTCTGAGTAAAGGTTACTGCAGGTTGCGTAGGGCTTGCCTAATAAGGAGTGATTTGTTGTTGCTGACTAATCTATGGACTCTGAGATTGCGCAACATCACTGGAGACTGACAATACAGACAGAGCAGGACAGGAGACGAAAGAAAGAAAGAAAAACAGCATAATGCAAAAATCAGCTTAACATAAGTTCGACCGGTGGACTAACCTTAGTATACAGAAAGAGAGAAGTAGCACAAAACAAGAAGTTACATACAGACTGTGTCTGCCTAGTAGTGTGAACACATGAGGACAATAATTTGCTTGCCAACTTGTGGTTGAGTGAAGATTGAAACCCATTCAAAAACTGACAATCACACTGTGTAAGAGAAGAAAGGTACTGAGCACAGTGGTGTAAAGATGCTCAGGAGAGAGCACATAGACTGAGAAGGAAGTCGGGCCCCTGACGAGACGCAGCAAGGAGGAGGATAGTGGATCATTATGGGAGTCAAATGCAGGGCTTTTGTTGCCATTGTCTTCATCCTCCTTTTGCTTGGCTCCATGTGGCTCTGTAAGTTTTACCAGTTCTTTCAAAATTTTCCTTTAACAGACCGAATGTAATATATTTGGTTAGATTTTCTGACACACCAAAGCTACTTTATTTCACTGTGGGTTCAGGTTAATAGATTTTTTTGAGATACTGCTTTATTATTTCAGTGAAACTTGTTATTCAATCATTCAATATCAGTTTTGGTGATATTGAGTTATATCAGTAGATGTTACAGTAGAGCTGATTGACTATAACTCATCAAGAAAATAAACATATAAAGATGCTGAACAGACATTTGACCTGAATTCACATCTTAAATAGATTCATGAGAGAAGTTTGGTATTTGAAACAAATGCTCAATGCTTTAAAGATTTAGTGCATGATTCATTCATGAATCGGAATGATGCAATTCTCAAGTTCATTTCACTGGCTCAATAATGATTAAAAATTTAGTTTTCTATGAAATAAAACATGTTTTAAACGACATGTGAATGAATAAACAATGACATAATTTGGAGGTAACTACTTGTATAATATTCAGAGAAATATTTACACTGGATAACTTTATCTCACGTAAGTAAGTAACACAGTTCACAGATCTTCTGGATGGGTTTATGTGAAAGCCTAATCAATTTACGTTCCTGGCTTTCATTATTTTTTGAAAAACTTCACGAAATAATGAGTTTATGTAATTTAAATATATTAGCCTGCTATTTCTTCTGTCTTCCTGTTTTATTTCCATTATTTATTCTCACATTACTCATCCTCTGTATCTCATTGCAGATGGGAATCTGGAGGACCACTGGAATACTTGTCCAAAGGTTTATAGTATGAAAAACAAGGTAAGAGTGGTGATACAACAGAGAACACAAATTAACTCGAGGCTTAAAGTGTCATTTTGAATCTACGCAGAGCTGCTAACAGAAACTTTTCTCCATTCATTTTATGGCATCACCCTCCTCTGAAATCTGCCCTTACCTCACTTTTCCATTTCTTCTTGTTTTCGCAGATTCTGTCTTTCATTAGAGTTAATAGTTCAGATGAAGATGTGGCTCCACTGAGGGTGTGTCCTGGCCAGAGGTTTCAAGTTGCTGATTTGCTGGCTCACCTGCAGGCAGCTCCAGTCTCAGCCAATGATGTTCTGCTAAAGCCGTACCTGGCAAGCTGGGATGAGCTTATCAAGCAAGTTAACGCACATAATTGCATTTCATCATATAGCACGTTAAATAAGCCGAATTCTATAATTAAGTCGAGCGAGAGTAAAGCATGATCGTGAGTGTAATGTTGCTTTTTTACAACACTTAAAACAACAACAAAATTGATAATCAGTAACTAAACACAACAACAAATAGCCTATATTGCCGGTCGAAG